TGTGTCGACTGTGCCACACAGCTTGGTGTCGTCAGCAAACTTGCTGAGGGTGCGCTATATCCCACCGTCCATGTTGCTGCCAGAGGTAAACAATTAAACAAACTGTTTCTTCTATCCACAACTCTAGGTTGATTCACTCTGCTGCAGCTCAGTCAACTGAAATGGCTCAGAAGGAATACTTGGTTAGATTATTGGTCAGTGGTACTGTAAGTTTTATTTGGCTGTTTCCAACCATATGATTGTCAGTTTCAATGATGTCACTTAGACTGAGAATTCCTAACTACACACTGCCTTTTTCTCCTCCTAACATCACAGAGCAGCCCAAAAAATACTTATTCTCCCTCTCATGAAGGTAGAAAGATGTTGACAAAAACTAGGTACAAAAGATTAACTTGGTACTTGACTGGAAACTTTGCATCTGGATAGATTCAAAGACATAAAACAACAATAAACAAAATGTCCACAAATAAGTCAATTACTGGGAAACACAGAAAGTGTTCCAACAGCAATTAACGTGTCTCACAAATACACATAAAAAGACCAGCTACTGTATCAGCCCACACCACCTACTGATAATTTCCTTTCCTCCTGCTGTTTAGGGATAACGGAATAACAACTTATTTATGTGGAAAATTTTGTTGGAAAATAACTTGGAGAAACTACTGCACCCAAAGGAATAGCACTGTATTGCTGATACACTTTGATCAGAAGAATGAAAGATGAGAAAACAACACTGACTGTTCCAGAATTTTTTTTTCCTCATATACTCTCCATCTCATCATTCAGCCTAACAAGTTCTGAATGCTTAGACCATGTGGAGATGCATTTATTAAATACTGGCTCTGTTCAACTTGAAAAAGGCAAGCAATTAGAAAATATGATACATGTATATATTTTTTTATTTCAAGTAATCAGAAAAGGGAAATATTTTCCATTCAATATATGGCACTTCCTCTAATGATTGTCAGAAGTCTTTAATGTGAATTTTCAAAAGACCAGCCGTTTTTTTAACACTAAAATAGCTTGGTATAAGCATTAGAAGACAGACACACATCAAGCTCCAAACGTGTATATATACATATATATACACACACACACAGACAATTTTCACTGTGAGCTACGGATGTGCCATTCAGAATTTAGTTATGATTAAATACTTTTAGTTTCAGCAATTTCTGATTTTTTTCTTTAAGCTTCAAATCTAATGTCTTTTTCCTTTTGGGAAACTTCTCACAACCATCAAAATGTTGCAGAAAATCTTTCTTCTTTTCAGTAGTTTTTTTCCATATTGAAAATAAAATTACTGTACTGTGAACTTTTAATGCTTGCCCTAGGCTGTCCTCAAGTGTCTGGAAAAAAACAAATCTCTAAACAAAAATCTTTATGGCACTGAAGTCATATGGTTCTGCTCTGGTAGAAAAAATGAATAAAGAAATTCTCAAAAGACCTAATTACAATTACTACTACTGTATATATCTGAACAAGTGAATTAACTGAAGCACAAGTGATGCTAAGGAAAAGGAAGTGAAAGCCTCAGATTACATTTTTTTATATTGCAGCAATACTATTTAAATTAGTACACATCATACATATGGTCTAACTTAATTTCCTTATTTTTTTTTCCAAAAGATGGTTATAAAAAGGACAGATAAAATTTTTAAAGACCATAGCATCATATTCATATAATTAACTATTTAGACCAACATGTGGCATTAGAACAGTATCCTAGCAAATTACTGCAAGAAGTTAGCCCTAGTTTTCCAGAATCTCGCACGGACTATTGGTGGTCTGACTTTTCTATGTGGAATGCAAGTTTAATATTTCTCAGTAAAAATTATTAAGCTAGTTTATACATTTTACACCACTGTTCCATATCAATAGAGAAATATTTGCAGAAGATGCATATACATTTATATAGTGTTCGCCATAGGATTATGTGTATATAATAACTAACAGTACTTTGCACAAGCAATCTTAACACCTTCATTACTCCGATTGCTATAGGTAGTTCAGTGCTTAGAAATAAAGTCAGAACTGCCTGACAGCTTCCTGAAACAGCGACAACTGGTATCTGGAGCTTTCTACAAATGAAGTGGGTTCATACTGAAGAAAAATTTCCTAAAATATGACCGCATTTAAATGAGCTGAATGAGCAAAAACTTGGGCGGGGGGGGTGGGAGAAAGAAAAAGAAGCCTATACTTAGGACACTTCAGACCAAATAAGAATCACCACTAAAGTAAAGGCATCACGGATGCATTAACCTTAAAACTAGACAGGCTATTCTCACAAACACTTTTTATGAAATTCAAAACAAACAAAAAAACCCCACCACCAACAACAAAAAAAACCTCCACATACAAAACCAACAACCCACACCTATCCCCGCCAGCCCACCTCTAGGGTTTTTATATAGCATAGGCTTGCATTACAGGGCTTCTACTTAGCCCTAAATACCACTAACAGAAAATGTAAATACAGTCCTAGAAAGCTGTTTTGCAGAAAAATGTAAGGTCTTTAGAGGCAACTGGCTGAAGGTGAGGCTGCAGGGTGGCCTTGCAGCAGGGCTGAACGCACACTGGGCTACACAGAACTGTAACAACCATCCTGAAGGAAGTGATCCTTGTGCTCTACAGGTACTTTCAAAACCACCCCTAGATTTCTGTGTCCAGTTTGGGGTCTATCAGTGTAAGACAGCTGTAGACGCACTGGAGGGCATCCAGCCAACGATACCAAGAAGATGAGGAGGCTGGAGCACACAAGCAGAAGATGAGAGAAATTAATTTCTTCAGTCAGAAGAAAAGGCTCTGCAAAGGCCTAATTACTGTCTATCATGTCACAGGAGGGTGTAGGGAA